CTCAAGTCGTTTATTCTTTCACTGGGTATAATTATTTCTATGGAATTCAACATATTTCTGATTATAACTCTTCTGACTTCACTACAGCTTCTTTTGTTAGACATCTCAGACATCTTTATGGTCTTCATTCTCCCTGTGAAGGTATCATTTCTCATTTGTCCTCTTTGTAGTCTTTACCATGGTGAGTGTTCTGCGGTCGGTCCAGGAGCCCTTAAGCCCTCGGTTGGTGATGGGATAGAGTCCAGAAGGCCGTGGTTCTGCTCTCCAGTTTCTCTCAATTCATTTTTATGTTGTTTGTCTATTCTGCACTATTATATAGAAAAGAAAAGCAAACAAGTTAACTACACTCAGGACAGCTCCTTATTTCAAGGGGAAAAAGAAGAGCTACCCTCGGTTGGATTCAAACCCACGACACTAGATGACCACTCTACTAACTGAACTGGGTAGCTACCAGAGCAACTCAGGATGTATAATATACCTTGAAGAACCTTGATATTGGTTGAGAGTATTCTTTGACCTGAACCTTGTCCACACATTTTGGCAGGCTTCAACTGAATTGGAGTGACGACGTTTGAGGATGGGGTGAACCAGTTTGCTGGCCTGAGCAGTCTGTACATTCAATCACATATAACAGTGCAGTAGCTACTTCGCATGCACTATCAGACGGATGTTTAATACTATGATAGCACTTTGATGCCAAACTTTGTGATTAGTGAGTGAAACACGCCAACTCAGGTATCTATTATCACGGTAATAAGAAATTTAAATCATCAACATGGTGATGGTCATGTTAGATATTTGATAATACCTTTAGGGTTCAGCATGGGGTATATAGGAATCTAATGTGTTAGAATTTACTCTTGCTTCACACCCTCTACCTCCCACATTCAGCCAAGAAGTATCCGATGTCAAGCACCGAATTATTTGATTACAGCCGAATTCTAACCAAAGTCTGAGAATGTGTAACATATTAACCATTACCTATGTAGGAACCTCACACACATTCAGCCAAGAAGTTTCCAGTGACAAGCACTTGTGTAATGAAAAGCACTGAAGTGCAAACCCTCGGCGCATTGTGATGCGCACGCGTAAGTATACGCATGCGCCGTACCACTAATTGATGGCCTGGGTTTAGTTTTAGCTGTTACTCGTGGTCTCTTGCCAGCTCGCGTAGAGTCTGACGCGGGCTAACTACACTACTAGATAGCATGCGAGAGGCGATACACGCCCTGCGTTGCATCTTCTGGTGCCTTCGAGGTACGCAGAGCACGCGAATCGATCAGACCGTGGTAAGCCATCCCGTCCGTTGTGTATTTGCATATTGGCTTTTTCGTGCTGTAGCTTTGCAACGGAGCAGTTTCAGAGAAAACCGCGCACATGTTCTGACCTTCATTGCCCGTTAAGTAGGTCGTATCCTTTGTGAGACGAACAAACAGCCGAGAAGTGAGATTGAGAGTAACAGACACACACAAACACAGACAGACAGACAGACCCAATGAAAAGCACTAAAGTGCAAACCCTCGGCGAAGTAGCTCGCAGAGAGTCTGACACGGGCTAGCTACAGTAGTAGATAGCACGCGAGAGTCGATACACGCCATTCGTTGTGACTTCTTGTGCCTTCAAGATAGACAGAGCAAGCGGACCCCGTCGAGGTAAGCCTGTGCTAAATATAAGCGCATACGCATTATCCGCCAGCGCGACTACCGACATTAGCCATACAATGCTGGAAGCGCTCTAGCTGTGCAACGGAGCATTTTCAGAGAAAACCCCACAAATTTTCTGACCTTCATTGCCCGTTAAAGTAGATCGTATCCTTTGTGAGACGAACAAACACTCGAGAAGTGAGATTGAGAGTAACAGACACACACACACACACAAACCCAACTACAGTAACCCTCGCTGCGCATGCGCGCCGAGGGTAAATTAGAACAGAGTTGAGTTCCTGCAGTAATGATACTTTTTCTCCCAGAAGCGAGCTATATAACGTTTTGGAAAGCTACGGTTTAGAATCTCTCTTCATTAAAATGGATAAAGAAATGCTATGTGCATATTTTTATGTTGTGTGCAGCACTGTCTCAGTGCGTATGAGCTTGAGTAGTGGAAGTACTCAAAATCTCAGTTAGCACACTTCAAAAGCTTCCTTCTCAATCTTATGCTGATGGTTAAATAAAAATACATAATAGAGCTACCTTAGGGTTACTATTAATTGCGACTACTAATTTTAGCGTTTTTGGACAGATAATTTTGGCGTATATATACCAATTTAAGCGATTTTTTTCATTAATGTATGATGATGACAACCAATCAAAGTTTGTGCGTGTATCAATTTTCATCCTTCTTCTCTGGTGCTCCAGCCGAAGTAGAACCACACACCACAAAGTTTTGCAAGGCCTTCTTTTTGTTTCCAGGCTCCAGAGTAAAGCTCCAGCAGTGTATAAACACGTGAAACTACGCGTATAGCGCGCGCAACTAACCGCGCGGATACTACGCGGTATGCGCCCGCATGAGCCCACATTCTCGCTAAAATTAGTAGCCGCAATTACCATTAATTTGTTCAAAAGCCTCTTTCCCACCGTTATATACGCAGTCTAAGAATTCTTGTATGGATTCCTAGTTGCCATTAAGTTGTAAGATATGGACACAGAGCCTTCTGTGAAACGTGTGGATACCACAGCTTCTGTGGAAGTCTACTACACATACCACTCCTTCTGTGGAGGTCAAGCTTCCGCTGACGATGTGTGCATAGAATCTGTGAAACGCAGCTTCTGTCTTGTCTGAAACCTAACCACTTTTGTGTCAACCCAAACTTTGACCTGTCACCAGCATTTAGTCCCAATTACCTACTGATCCGAACCACCAAAAATAGTGATGCGGGTGTCAAATGTGCTATATAGCGGCAAACACATTCTTCATTGCAGTATCATTGCTTTAGGCACCTCCTCCGAATCGCACCAAGGCCTATTCCATGCACGTTCTCGTGTTGTGCACTGAAATAATTTGTGAACGGGGAACGCGATCCAAAGTAATAGAAAAATAGTCAAGACAGGGAGCGTTATGAAATGCCTCTTTGCGAAGAGAGCAAAACCATATTCCTCTATTGGCAAACAGTGAGCCAGGTGGAGGCTCCATTTTTTGGAAAGTTCCACTGCCTTCTGATGAGAAATCAATAGGGTAGAGTGAACATTGTGGGCAGTGGAGGGCAATGCTTGGGAAACATTACGACATGCATCTTGTTATGCTTATGTTTGTTAAGCCTCGGCGCGCATGGGCCAGATGGTTTTGATGTCTGTCTATAGCTACCTTGACAAATTCTAAACGTGAGCAAAATAGCTTTTTTTTTGCTTCTTGAACATGGTTCTGATAGGAGGGTTTTCACTTTAGTACTTTTCATTCCTCAAGAGCTTATTTTTAATGGGAACTGTGCCATGAGTCCTCCGACACGTCGAGTTTGTAGTGGAATGAGGGCTCCAACAGTATCGCTAAAGGGACTTGGACATGTGAGCCACGGAAGTTAGGATTGTGTCTTCTAATAGTTGGAAAAGATACGAGACCTCAGCGACAAGATAGTCGACCAGGCCATATGTAAAGACATGGTAAGCATCAACCTAAGTTGCGACTTTCTCAGTAACAGAATACTCTGGTCCCATTAGGGTCAGATGATCCCACAATCATTTGAGTGCACGAGGTTAGAGTTTAGGTACTTGACAACAGTTGTCTTATAGAGAAAATAAGTATGTGATGGCCATTAAGCAGCAAATAACTATTAACTTGAAGTTTGCATGGTTGCTCATAGTCAGAGACGTCCCTTGTACCTTGTACCTTGTACTTGTGCTGCACGAGTGATGTATACAAAAACTCTGTCAGCATCATTCTCCACTCTGCCCCTCTATACATGCATTAGCAATACATTATTAATACAACACACATGCAACAATAATGCTATATATATAGCTACTCAAGTTTTACATCCAACGGTGTGTGGTAATATCTCACCTCTGACCATAGCTGTGACATTTCAATCATAACACTATAATTGCACATGGTTAGTAGAGAGACGCCAACCTGATACATATCGGTCACATTCCTGGTATGTCAGTTATAAGTGGTCATGTTTATACACAGGTGTCAATAACTTCAGATCATCAGTCACCTTGAATATAACTGACCTTTTTACAGTGCTAAAATGCTCAGTCTAGAGGTGAGATAGGGCTTGTTGATAGTGATAGATCAGTGGGCTTGCGTGAGCTAACAATACAGATGATGATCAAGCCGAGGATGGAATGCGCAGGTTAGTATCTTTGACCAGCTATTTTCATGCATAATAGCTAGCTAAACCTTGTACAACTACATCACTGATGTATATACCTTTTTTAGATAAAGTGTGGGCATAATAATAGGCCCCTTTTTTCCCCGCAATACAGGGAGTTAGCACTCGTAGGAATTGGACATTTGCTGTAACGTTCATTCCCCACGCTGGTTCCCCATGCAAGGGGCGGACCACTGGCAACACTATTGGTGAGCAAAGCGGACCCACCTAGTCGTCTGAATGCGTTGTGTCCCGCACTGCCGCACTTCACTTACCGTAATGATCTACGTTACAATGACTTGTTTTGGGGTTGACACATAAGTCATTAGGTGTCTGACCAAACTAGAGCTGCATTCTACAGGTTCTCATGTGCTGCACACCTTCAATGGAAGCATTACCACAAAAGGAGTGGTTTCTGTAGTGGGCCTCCACAGAAGCCGTGGTATCCACACGTTTCACAGAAGGCTCTGTGTCCATATCTTCCACAGGAGAAATCCAATGCAAGTTCGACAGTTACTTTTGTTAGTTGTTAACAGTGGAAAACTGAATATTATTAGTAATCTTCAGTCTAGCTTTGTAATATTTAACCATCGGAGAAAATTGAAAAATGGGTTAGGAAGATCATGCAAGCATGCTAGTTTGCTTAGTAGCTATGAAAACGCAGCATAATAGAAAATCAGAGGAGACTCTGCTCAAAATATTATTGCACATGCTCATAAAGACAATGACTGTTTTGCACGCATTAAATCACAGAGGCATAATAAGCAGTCAGGTGAAGGTAAGCACCATAACAGTTGTTCTTTCAGGGAAAAGAGACTCGAAGGAACATGGTAGCTACAATTGCTCCAATTATATACACAAGCATAAACACACAGTGCACATTCCTTCTTAGCTGAATGTGAGAGGAGTTCCGAGTAAATCTGACACACAGCTGCAGTCAGGGTCATAATTCCTACTTATGCATAGAACTTGACTTGGTATGTACTATTGTGCTTCACATCTGTAGTTCTTGGCTGAATGTGGGAGGAGTTCCTAGGTAGAGAGTAAATTCTGTTACATGAGATTCCTAGTAATAGCATACAATCAATTTGTGCGCAACTGCCGAGAGTTGCGAGGACTATAAAAGCAGGCCAAGTAACAGACATGCTACAACTGTCTCTCCAGACTCTACTTTGAAGCAAGTACCACTCCTTACAACAAAAATGATGAAGGCCACAATGTTTGCAGCTGCAATTCTACTCTCTGCAGCTAGCACTGCAGTACTTGGATATCCATCCTACCCGTATGCTACCAGCCAGCAGCGCCAGGCCCCGTATGCTGAACAGCAGCAGTACCTAAGGCAGCAGGTGGGACAGCAGCAGTACCTACAGTATAGCTGACAAATTAATGCCATCCTTCTAATTACCAAATACAGCAGGTGGAACAGCAGCAGTACCAGTATGCTGAACAGCAGCAAATGTTGGAGGAAAACTTTGACCAGGAGCAGGCACTCATGCAGCAGAACTATCTTAAACTGTTTGAAGGAGGTGCTGCAGCTCAGCAGGCGGGCAGTTGCTTGGACATTAATATTCCAACTTTGGTGGGTCCCCTCAACGTCCGTGTATGTCCAGACGATAGCACTGGATGTGGGCTTGTCCGTGTTGTTCTGGGCACGCTTGTCGATACCCGTGTTGAAACCTGCAAGCAAGGTTCGGTAGATATAATGTGCATGTTGTATGTTTCAGAAATCATTATTATTCACAGGATGTATTAAAACACCACGTCCCGAGACCTTGTGTCCACAAGGAAGTCCTCCTGCCCTCATTAGCATTCCGATTCCTACACCTGGAGTCATGGTGAATGTGGACATCCGCCTCTTTCCACAGTGTCAGTGTGTGTGAGGGTGAAAGCTCCGGTATGCCAACCATGAAGGTATTAACTAACATAAACACAATCACGTGATGGTTACAATTTTGTTATATACTTACAGTGATTAATGATCCACATCTGGGAACGGACAACTTTAAACAGAATAGCTGTGTAGGTTTTAGCAACTGCCCTAGAAATGATGTTGCAGATAGTTTGGACTTATGTGTATATAGATAGATTTCATTAGACATGTGCATACAAACATGTGTACCCTGATTTCATCATCATTGAACATTGAAACATTGATTTCGAGCAACTGCGAGGGGTTCAATTTTCAGATAAAGCTATTTGAGGTTTCCCCCCCCATAAACAAAGAAACACGGGAAATAAAAACCTTGGCATAAAAGTTTTATCAACATAAGTCCGACTGTAAAGGCAACATAGCTAACGATAAGGGACAAGCTACTTCTTACCTATGCACGTGGTTGCAGTTTAACAACTACACGCAGGACGTGGCTTGCCAGTGAAGCTCTACAAAATATTAAACCAAGATCCCCACGGTGCCATCTGAATGCCTAAGCGACCAATGTGTCATCTAACAAACTTCATAATCTGGAGCTTTGAATCCCGTTCCCTCGCTTACACTGTTGATTTGATCTTCACGGCAGACACCGAGTAACGCCGGCATTTGCTGTCGACTCAGTATGGAGTGGTAGCTAAGGGGTGCAGTACTAGGTAGCTAGATCGATTGGAAGTCGGACGCAATCAATCCTCCGACACCAAAACAGACAAAGAGAGAAAGAAAAGTCTAGGTCAAACTGTAGACATAATTATTATACTATAAGCCGCGTACGATGCTATCAACCTGTGAAAATATGTCCTGCTTACCTGTCAGAGTCTCCCAGACGTAGCAGTTGCTGTTCGAAGACGACGTCCAGAGACGTCATAATTAACCCTCGGCGCGCATGCGCAGCGAGGGTTACAGTAGTTGGGTTTGTCCGTCCGTGTGTCTGTCTGTTACTCTCAATCTCACTTCTCGAGTGTCTGTTCGTCTCACAAAGGATACGACGTATATACCTAACGGGCAATGAAGGTCAGAAATTTCGAACAGTTTTCTCTGAAAATGCTCCGTTGCAGAGCTAGAGCGCTTCCGCCATTGTACGGCTAATGCTAGTCGGCCATTTTTATCGCTGCGGAAAATGCGCATGCGCTTATATTTTGAACAGGCTCGGGTCCGCTTGCTCTGTGTATCTTGAAGGCACGAGAAGTCACAACGAAGGGCGTGTATCGACTCCCACATGCTATCTACTACTGTAGCTAGCCCGTGTCAGACGCTACTAGCGGGAGACCACGAGTATACTACATACTAATAGCAGCCCAGCCCATCAATTAGCGGTACCGCGCATGCCCAGTTCGCCGAGGGTTTGCACTTTAGTGCTTTTCATTAACCCTCGGTGCGCATGCGCAGCGAGGGTTACGGTAGTCTGTCTGTGTGTCTGTTACTCGTCATCTCACTTCTCGAGTGTTCGTTCGTCTCACAAAGGATACCACGTACTGAACGGGCAATGAAGGTCAGAAATTTCGAACGGTTTTCCCTGAAACTGCTCCGTTGCAAAGCTAGAGCGCGAAAAAGCCAATATCCAAATATACAACGGACGGGAGGGCTTACCACGGTCGGATCGATCCGCGTGCTCTGCGTACTTCGGAGGCACCAGAAGATGCAACGCAGGGCGTGTATCGTCTCTCGCATGCTATCTAGTAGTGTAGTTAGCCCGCGTCAGACTCTGCGCGAGCTGGCATGAAACCGCGAGTAACAGCTAAAACTAAACCCAGCCCATCAATTAGTGGTACGGCGCATGCGTTTACTAACGCGTGCGCGTCACAGTGAGCGCCGAGGGTTTGCACTTCAGTGCTTTTCATTAATCCGGCAAGAACTACGAATAAGTTCTATAGGGTGAATACAACTTAAACGGAAGTCGTCTATGGGGTAGCTAATGCGTGGTAGGGAGGTATACTCCAACAATAAGGATGGGGGAGGTTGTGGAGTCTATGGTGACATATTTCAGAATCAATTCCAGCAACTGGTGTGGCTTTGAGTCGCTTGTTCCAGATGATTCCAATACCGCCGCATCCTCTGATCAGATCGCTATGCATTGAGTCTTTGGTCGGCGGTGGCTGTCCCTACCATTCCTGGGTAGCTTTTATGTTTTGTAGCTCAAATGGCCACAGCCAGTGCTCACTGATGAGAATGAAAAGCGCTAAAGTTCAAACCCTCGGCAAACTGCTCATGCGCGATACTGGGCTGGGCTCCCGGTACTATACCTATAGCAGCTCGCGGTGAGTCTGACGCGGGCTAGCTACAGTAGTAGATAGCATGCGGGAGTCGATACATGCCATTTGTTGTGACTTCTCGAGCCCCCAAATGTACACAGAGCGACTCAGCGGATCAGGTCGTGGTAAGCCAGTGCGATTGGCTTTTTCGCTTGTTTTCGCGCATTTTCTCGAACGCAGTCGTTTCAGGAATATCGCCCTTTTCTTTTCAGGCTCGCGTAGTTCTGAAGCCGCTGGTATCGCTAATAGGCCGCCTCGTGGCCTGTAGTGCCAGAATAAGCCTCGACACACACACACACACACACACACACACACACACACCCAATACATCACCCAGGACCCTAGAGTAACAAGCCCACTTCCCCCTTAGGAAATTCCATACCTATGGCATCACAACTCCCTATAAATACCCTACTGTGCATTAGTAAAACCATAGGATTGCAAGTCCCCCAGAGAGCCTAAGGTATGTGATTGTAACTACTTCAATACAGTACTGTAAGCTGTAGATTTTGCACGAGAGTCTGTGACATTGGATGTGTGGGGAGAGTTGGCAGGCCATCAAAGATCTGTAACCCACCGTCCCCAGTTCTCACGGCTGAGTATCCATGTCCTGCTCTTGTGTTTGTATGAGTGAGACTGTGTAATTACAATGTGATAGGCTAGGGCTGCACAAGCGCAAAACTCTGAAGTAGAAGTGGGTACCTGGTAGCTAAATCTAAAATACATGTCATGGCTGCGGGTCCCCATTAACAACCATCGTAGTACGAAGATGAAAACAGTCAAACATGGTGAGTGTACGTTCCAACAAATTTTGACCACTGAGCTGCCGCGTGTAGTGAAGTTGACCAAAGTCTCCCAGCCTCTGGTCTTATTGTGTTTGTGTTTGGTCACTTTCCTTTCTCCCCCTTTCCCTCCCTTTCCTCAATCACCTCCACAAACACACACACGCACACACTGTGTAAAAGTAAGTAAAAAATCCCCTTTGCATCACCGTAATTGTAGTAAAAAACCATGCGCATGCTCAGCCACCCGCGCAATAATTAGCTATTCCATGCGGTGGTTGAAAAAATATGCCAGCAGGTATGACCCAAGGCAGGTATGTGTATCTTGTCTAATCTTGTCACAACAAGGCAGTAAGGATGTAGGTAAACTTCCTGTACATGCATACTACCTTCTTTTACTGTCACAACCTAAAGTAGGACTTACAAAAACCGACAAACTGAACTATAGCATGACAAACTAAAAGCTTAGCAAGACAAACTGACAATACTGTGTTTATACCAGACTCCGTTATGTGGGATTGGTCGCCCCAGTGGTAGTGAGGCACAGGTCGGGAGATTAAAGGGACCGAAACCTTGGACCTACACGATGATCTGCTGAGGAGCTCCCCTGATGACTGGTGCTTATACAAACAAGACAAGCCTACCTGCTGACGTCGAACGAGTACCATGACACATGACACATCTGACTGCGGGGGTGGTAGGGGTTGGAGTAGCAACGTAGAGGCTCTCGAGCCTGTGGTCAATTCTTGTATGTATTCATGAGTAAATGTGATGCATATGCTGGCAGGGTGTGTGGAGTTGTGCCGACCTGGTTGTGCTGGAGTAGGTAAACATCAATATCTGATGCATCAGAGACTGACGCGTGTCTCGGTGTAGCTCCAGTAGGCAGCGAAACGCTCATTACAGAGCACGTGGCTACTATCCGGAAAATGGCTCTGAAATGGCGGGCTCCGTATATTCTAGGACTTTTCCGTGATACAAGTTGCTTAGAACCCGGATACTGTCGGGTTTAGCCGGAAATCCACTCGAACATTATTCGTATGAATAATGTTCTCCTGTATTTCCGCTAAACCTCTCCAGCCCGGGTTCTAAGTAATGCATGTAATTTTTCTCCTAGCTAGGTGTGTGGTGGCAGTAGTGTCAGTAGAGAGTGAAAAGTGGAGCCAATCAGATGCAAAATGCAATATGCCTTTCAACGCAAGGCGCTCTGCAATAAATTCCTGTAATTTTTTTATCAATCACTGTGTGACATGCAAACGTATGGCTCATGGGCAGCAGTGCAATGCGGCAGCCCGACTGGGATCTGGACAGAGTCGAACCTGGGAAGGTGTCCAAGAGTCACGACACTATGCATGATTATTACTGTACTTCGAACGAACAGATGACAAAAGTTGACAGGGGGCATTTACAATTTCCAGGAGGTGTCTAGCTCCAACAGGAAGAGAAGTAGACCAAAACCCAGAACCTCCCTCCTCCCCAGCTACCGAACCTACCCTCACAACCTCCCTCCTCTCCGGCTACCGAACCTACCCCTCACAAGTCACAACCTCCCTCCTCTCCGGCTACCAAACCTACCCCCTCACAACTTCCCCCAAACCCAGAACCTCCATCCTCCCCAGCTACCGACCCTACCCCTCACTGAACCTACTGCCTCAGAACCTCCCTCCTCCCAGGCTACCAAACCTACCTCCTGCCCTCAGAAGTCAGAACCTCCCTCCTCCCCGGTTTAATTTTCCATTAGGGACAGTAATAATTATACTGCGACCTCTCTCTTAGAAAAGTTGAAGAGGAGTACGTCAGGCAGCAGCTATAGCTACCAAACAAAGTGAACAACTAACAATTATTGGTGTACTAACTTAGGAGTAGCATGTTTGTACTGAGGGAGACTGCTGGTTGATAATAAAAAGCACTAAAGTGCAAACCCTCGGCACACTATATAGAAATGTGGAACCCATACACAAGTGTGGCACCACCACAATTGATGGTCTTCACCATGCATCAGCATGTTATGCACCATTTCCATGGAATATTATCAATAGGTGAAAAAAAATGGCCAGCCGCTATATCTGTTTGAGGCCCAAAAAATATATAAGGTTGAAAAATTGCCAACTTTTATCTCCCTATTAATATTCGTATTACCCGTGGATTGTTTAGTGCAAAAAAAAAAAGTCAAAACCCAAGGTTGGAGAAAAAAAAACAAAAAAAAACGGCCAGCCCTTCATCTCTCCAGACAGACGTCTACTGACGCAGTGCTATGCCGAACTGTACGCTGCCCTTTGAGAAACATTGGTCAGTGGTAGATTTGTGGGTAAGGGGAGGAACCAGAGCTGTTCCCAGCCAATGCTCTGGACCACCTGACACTTTCAGTGCGGGATCGGGATACGAACCTCGCACCTATGGTGTCAGTCCCCACGACTCTAACCACCTAGCCACTCAGGCTGGCCTGGAGAGGTAATGAAAAAACGTTCCATATATACCAACACTCCTATTACATCATTTTAAAAAAGGCGTACACACCCGGGATCGAACCAGGGACTTCACGATCAAGAGAGGGGGTGCTTATCCATCAGACCACCACCATCACTTGAATGGGAACAGTGTAAATGAAAAGTACTGAAGTGCAAACCCTCGGCGAACTGCGCATGCGCGGTCTCCCGCTAGTATATAGCTCGCAGAGAGTCTGACGCGGGCTAGCTAGATTAGCATGCGAGAGTCGATACACGCCCTTCGTTGTGACTTCTTGTGCCTTCAAAATACACAGAGCA